CACACACGCACACGCGCACACACATCACAGTATCGCAGCAATCTCTCCACTTTGGGGCATTTCTACCTTTCAAGGAAGCAATAAATTAGCAGAGCTGAATATTGAGTCTTACATTCATGCCACTGATGGGTTTGCCCTAACAGTTGTCACATTTCTTGAACTGATAATTTCTCACTTTGGAAAGAAAGTTCGTTTTAGACATTAAAGCCACATCTCTTTATATGTTCCAAACTCCAAAGGGTATAAGTAAGTACCCTTTTAAGATCTAACTGCTGATAGACTGGCTTATATTATAAAAGCCCGCCAATATTAAGCCCAGTGTGTGAACGTAATTACAGTCATGGAGCCTTATTGTATGAAATTCTAGACTTCATGCATAAAGCCTCGTATAGCAGGAGTAGTGACCTTAAATAATTTCTCCCGTCATGTGATTTGATGATGAACTTACAGCTTAAGTCTCTTGATCCAATCATCAGAAGAGTCTTTCTACTCTGGGTAGAAAAATACACCCTTGCGTATTCTTAGTGAATACTTTTATTTGGTGTGATATTGAATGCATACTAGGAGGATAAATGTTTTAGATTTTTGGTTTAGCCACTGTCTCACAGCTGACCACAAAGGGACATAAACTGTGCGCAAAGTAGACTCAGCAAGTTTAATAATGAAACTCATATTTATCACCTTTTCCTTAATTTGTGTCTTTCACTTAATCTTTCACTGTGAGCCAGCGGAAATCACAACATCTCGTGGTCTTTGCGTTAGAAGCTCTTAAATTTGATTCCTTCCACTTTGCTACAGAATTTAATTTTGGTTGGATGGAGCTTTTTTTATTATTTTAATGGTGCCATTCATCAAGGATGGTGCTCACGTGAGGTGCACTGAAGGCAACGGGTGTAGAGAGTGCAGAAAGTAACACTAGTGCTTTCCAATGCACCAAGTGCACCTAATAAAAGGGCGCCCATGTGAGTAGTTCTGTGCTTTTAGATCAGCTTGTCTCTGAAGTGCAGTATGAGAGCTGCGGTCTAACTGTTGCAATTAGAGCAGTGTCTCACAAATATTTTGGTGGTGCCAAAAACAGTGGCAAGCAAAATACATTGTTGAGCTGTGGAAAACATTTTCCAGCATGCAAGATATAAATTATAATCACTGTATAACTTTAAAATTGCAGCTGATAGAAATACCATCCTGTAACAATGTAATATTTTCAGCCTCAGTAATAACTGTCATTTTCATTATCACTGAATCTTTTGACTGTTTCTTTGATAAGTCAGTTAATCCTTTGGTTGATAAAAATGTTAAACAATCATAAAAATATAGATAACAGGAACCCAGAGCCTGAGATGACATTTTCAGATTACTGTTTTAATAGTTCATATGAAATGTATTACAATATAAAACAGAGATAAGCAGCAGATTCTCACATTTAAGAAGCTGAAACTAGAGAACGTTTAGCATCAAAATCTTAACACCTATTAATAATTTCCCCCTTGAATATATGAATTTTCCATGAAAACACACAGTCAGATAAGAAAACTCATTTCCAGATATTGACCTATCCTGACTCGTGTTATCCTTTATCTGGATTTGGTGGAGACCTGGGAAATTGCGCTGTCTAGGATAGCAGGAATAAGACATAAAGTGTATTTTAGGGCACTTTACATCGCATATATATTGTTAATAGTGCAAGATGCTCTGGGATATCTTTTGTATATAGAGCCTAAGATATTAAACAACATTTTACACATCCCCCACACTCATTTCCAATTTCTATTTCAACACAGTGATCCTGCACATATGGAACATTATGTAACTCCTGAACTCATTATTGTGACCCAGATTGCTGATAGCAAGGATTTCTAATCTCCAATATGAGTCTGTATAAAAGTGTAATGAAACTGGATCCAAGTCGGACATGTGCTTCATGTAATGCCGGACATATGTTAACATATGAATTCAATTAAATGCATTAGAGCAATTATACACCGTAGAATTGTCTCTTCAGTATTACCTAAAATGTACTTGAAACTTTCAAACATTGAGGTATGATGAACTTTAATATAATTTGAAGAGTTTTACATCCCTTCCATGTCTCCGTTATTGGATTTAGAGTAAGCGAGGATTGTTCCAGCGATGTGTAATTTAATTTAAAAGTTCAGGCTTCATGTGCTGTTGTTTTGGAATAAGAAATTCATTATGTTGCTATCAGTTTGATCTTCAGGATAAATGTTACATTATTAACAGGTTCTTCTTTTTTTAATCTTAATAATTAATACAGATGGCACCAGTTTAATCTTATGTTGGCCTGACATGGGTTGGCAGAGAAAGTCAAATGATCCTTTTCTGGCAAAAAATTGCTGTTTTTCTGACTTCAAGGAATATTTCTGGTCCAGATATGAAGAGGAAGAAATGCCTCTGCCAATAAATATGAAGTAAAGGAAAGGGCATATCCCAACTTAAAGCTTTATTTTTTTGTTGGGAAAAATACATAAAAGAAAGAAAGGTTGGCAAGAATACCTGATTAAAGTTTAAATTGGAGGTAAAAACTTTGCTTTTAAACTATGTATGACTTTGAATTTGAAGTTTGACATTTCTAATTAATACTATTTGAAAAAGTTTTTGGAGAAGTAGGCATGAAGTTGGTATAATTAAAAAACTCTCAAGTCAGTGTATATTTAAAGTAATAACTTCAGTTTCTTAAACACCATGATTTAATCCAGTCATCGCTGTCTTTTAAATGAGAATATGTAATTGTGTTCCATCTGCAGCTTGACTGCTGTGCACCAGCCTTGTTTTGTAGTCAGTGTTAATTAAGCCCACATCCAGCTTACTGAATTAATAATGATGAATCCAGATACCTGTTCAGCGTGTTCGCTATCACATCCTGTGAGTCTGGACACAAATACACACAAGCCAGAGAAGTAGTGCCAAAAGACCTACTTTCAGAGTTAAGTGCATTTTTATTTCAGAAGGTGATTAGGTGTTTAAAATTAGAGCTAGATACACATATTTACCCTTCGTTGTCACACACACAGCACTTGATAGAGTTGGCAATTTGTAACATTGGCTACAAAACAAAGCTCAAGGACGGTGGTCATACTGCTGATTGAAGCACCTTTTTGAAGTTTTTGAATAAATTGAGAATAATTGGAAAGATGGTAATAAGACACATGGTGGCCAGGAAGTGTGAGTGAAATAGACACGGGGGAAAATGGATATGGTAATGTCATAGTCAAACACACACACACACAAAGAGTCTGTAGGGGAAATGGTGTGAGTGATGGATGAGTCCCAGTGGCTCCTAAAGGAAAACGTTCTGTAAATAGAATATTTAAAAAACATTTAAAAAGTTTGTTTAAATATAGCAGATAAGTACAAGATATTCTTTGTACTGTTTATCTATTCCTTGGTTTTTAGCTTCTCTACACGTTTTACTTTCCTTTAAGGTCTGGGAAATTGATGTTCTATAATGAGATCCAAAGCCCTTTGAGCCTAAATTCAGACAAGTTGTTTGTTGTCACAGAGAATTATTGGTTTTTCTTTTCTTTGAGAGGAGGAGGTTTTTTATTTTGAGAAGAAGTTTCCATTCTCTTACACTGGGAATAAGTGCCTGGGCAGGAGAACAATAAATATCAGTGTGTCTCTGTGTCATAGGATAGAGAATAATATGTTTAGCTTGTAAGCCTAAACCTGTTTAACTCCTTTATTTTGACTAAGATCCCATGGAGACGGGCACAGGGGACTCTGTAATCTAATTTTATTGAAAAGGTTGCACATTGTATTTGCCAGCACTCTAAGATCACCTTCATGAATGAATTTCTTTAAAAGGCCATCTTTTTTTGTCGTTTATCTCTTGGGTTTAAGATCTACTAGAGCTACCAGTAGCCTGTATCCGGTGCCAATACTCATACATACAATATGTAAATATTTAAACAAGCCATCGCAAAGCAAAAAAGCTTTTATGCAGTTGTGCTAAGTGAGGAAACTCCATCATATCAGACAGTTGTTTGTATTTATAAAAATATTACCAAAACACCACTATATATTGGCTGTGTGGTATCATCTTTCTACCATTTTATACTCCAAATCATCTACTTTGTCTCAGACTTTGTCAACATTTCTCTTTATTCTTTTCTCCTCTTCAATTTTTGGGCTTTTTCTCTCTCCTCCAACTCTTCTGTTTTATTGTCTTGTGTTTGCTTTCTCTGTTTGCCTTTGATCTCTCTTTTTCTCTCTGAGCATTCAGACTACCAGTACAGCTCTGAGTGATTGCTTGTGTAAAGTGCTCTGCTGTGCCCTCCACTATATCACTGAAAGGAGTGGACATGCAGTTTAATGCGTCCTTTCCCACTTTAAAAGGATCCAGTGAGAATGTTTGTGTACATGTCCGACCTTCAGCAGCTCTTCCCTCTCACTCAGGTTGTGCGAAGGCAGGAGGCGTGCGCTTCTCAGAGGAACCCCCCACTGCCGGAGCCCCATCACATGTTCACTTCGACGAAAAGCTGCATGACTCAGTCGTCATGGTGACTCCGGAGGATGACGGCAACTTCATGGTCAAGGTGCGTTTAACCTTGTAATAGCCTGACACTGGATGGCTTCAGTGGACGAGAAGATCTGTTAGACATTTTCACATTTATAACAACATTTCTTGTAGGTTTAATTATTCTCCACGGTTACGTGTGACTGAACATTTAGACTCTTGTTCTTCTTTCTTAATTAATTCAATTAAAGAAGAAGAAGAAGAAGAAGAAGAGAGAGGACAGAGACAAAGATGCACAGCAATAATAATAGCAACAGATATACTAGTAGAAATGACTAATAATGACGATGACGACGATTACTGCACCACTATTATCTTAAAGTTTATATCTCTACCAAACACACCCCCCAAAATCAGTCTGTTGGTTCTGTTTGAAATTCAGGTCTTGTGACTATTTGTAGGGATGGAAATTGGTGAGATTTTATTGATACCAATGCCATTATAGATTCTGCTTATCCGTCTGATTCTTTATCTATTCCCTTGTTGATTCTTTTTTTAATTTTCTGCGTAAAAAAGTAGGCCTACACAGATTTTGGGCATCAACACAAATGTTTTATCATCTCTTCTGAACACACTGTAGAACAGCCAACTCTCAACCACTGGCCCGCGGTCGTCTGGCGGGCCTCACAGCATCATCCTGATTTCCATCATATTTATGTCCATCCGTCAGTCAGTTGCACTTGTGAGTAGAGTGTCAAATACATGACAGGCCTGTAATTTAAGCCCTTGTTGCATAGAAAGTGTTTCAGCATATTGCTGGTGTGAAGTGAAGTCAAGCTATGGGGCTGTTTCTTCTCTTTTCCACCACGACTCAGCATAGACGCATGAGTCTGTTGAGTTATTGTTTTAAAATGCTCCAGGATGCCAGGATTTATAAGGCCGGGGGCCTGGCGTTTCTCAATTTCCATCCCTATGTGTTTGTGATTTCAGTAACAGAGACGACCTTGCTCCAACGTCTTACCATCAGTGTTATCTTCAATCACAGCACAGTCACATCTTACATTTGGCCCACATATAACATGCTGTGAGCAGGGAGGGCTTAATGTTTATGGCCGACAGACGGAGGTTGAGATAAATCAATTTTGTACTCTGTTTTCTGTTCCCGTCAGCTGTGTGATGTGATCACAGGGCAGAATTGTCAATCCAAGAGTGATGGTAACAGTCAGAGGTTGTGTTTGTACCCGACTGCTTGAGTCTAAAAAGCAGCATGTGAATACTGAACATTGGACAAAGTTGTGCCATCATGTAAGTCAAGATATTACTAAAATTATGATCTTATTTGGAGTGTTAAATTATAAGAATAGCAAGATAGTAGTCAAATAATAAGATAGTTATTCCCAGTTTAGTCTGCCTAGTTTAGATTTAGCTTATGAATTTACAGTTAACTTGGCGTAAATACAATATGTTGAATTGTTGTAACATAGACAAAATAATAATTAATTTTATGACACATTTGTTTTGTTTTTTTAATTACTGAAGGTGATTATGTAAGATACTAAACTGAAAAAAATAAATGTCTCTCCCAAATCAAGAGAACTAACTGGTATTAATAATCAATATGTTTTATGAAAACAGTTTAGCTGTTATTGAGGGTCCTTAATCTGCAGCTCAAGTCATGACTTTAGATGAGCTGCAAAACTGTGATGTTAATCTAATTGTTGTCAAGTTTAGAAATGTGTTGCTGTACTTGCAAATGTTGCTATCACATAATGATCTGGCATGAATGAATTTAGTTTGAAGAAGTTGCACTGAAATACTGGGGGCGTTTCTGTATAAGATAATGATCTGGCATCGTCACATGCTCATCAAAAATGGTCTGCAGTAGTTTTCTGCCCAGCCTGCAGACATTATTCAGTCTCCATCTGCTTCATGGACACCATGTTCTGTACAGCAGATAACTTAATCCAAGTCCAAGTTAATTGTCCTATCAGTGTAATAATAGTTTTGTGGATAAACCCCGGACACACGTATTAATATAAGCAAACAGGGGCAGTTAGGACAAGTTTATGTCATTTGATCTTCAGATTATTCAATCTAGTGGTACTCAATCTAAATAAAAGCCCAGGCCAAACCAAGCTACAATACTAAAAATGTAAACACACGTATTACTGCAATGAAAGTAATCATTTGTGAAGCAGATATTCAATAAGTTCAGTTCTCCTTTGAAAAACCAACACTACCTGCTCACAAACTGTATAGCCCACTGACCCTGAACGTCTTGTAATTGGTCATAATTAGGGGCTTGACTTCCCTGGGTAGTAGATATATTAGAAGGTAACTCTTTGATGTAGTGGAGCAGTCCCCTCAGTTTCTATGAACATTGATAGGCTTTTATCTGCAAAAGATCCAGGAGAAGATTAAAGTCTTTTCTCATCACTGTTAATCTCCTCTGTCGGCTATAAAGGCAGAGAACAATGATATCAAACTTCTCATCTGTTCTATACTGCCAGCTCTTAAACCCTGGTGGTGCTTAACTTAGGAGCCAAACACCGGCAACAGAAGGTGCCAAAGGCTCCAAAACTTAAAAAAAACCTGTAATAATAGGAGGATGTGGAAAAACTACTGTGTCTAATATCTGACAGTGACCATTAATTTGTCTCAGCTGTAGAGAGTTAATTAACATTGATGTTGATGATCGTAATGCTAATGAAGGGTTGCAGAGATGAAACACTGTATGTCTAATTGCACAATTAAAACATATCTCATTTATTTCTGAGAGATTTTCTCTTTCTACAGCTCTTTAATCCTACCGTGTCCTAGAAGCAGTTATTCATTGCTTCTTTAAATTGTTATTGTTGAACATGCACCATCCATCATTGCACCATTATTAGCAGTGACAATATAAGGAGAAATACGAGAAATACTATGCAGCAAAAAGCCTTGGCTGGATTTTAGCCCTGGGCATGAAGATTGTTTTAGTTTCAGGAGCCTTTTGAGACTTCAGTGGCGCCTGAAGACATTTTTTATTTGTGAAACTGTGCAGGTTTTAACTATGCTAGTGGATAGCAATGTTGGTATGCCTCTCTACTGTTTTCATCCAGACAGAAATATCCCAACAACTATTGGATTGATTGTCATACAATGTTGTACAGGCATTCGTGATCCCCAGATGATGAATCCTATTGACTTTGGTGATCCTCTGACTTTTTGTTTACTTGCCACCAGCAGTTCATAATTATATTATAGTTCAACATCTACTTGATGGATTTTGTTACAGACATTCATGGTTCCCAGAGGATGAATCCTGATGACTTATTCTCTAATGTCACCATGAGGTTCACATTTGTGTTTCTGATTAAAAACTATTAGATGAATAGCCATAAAATTGGAACAGATACTCATTGGTTTGTATTTACTTTGGTCATTTTCTAACCAAATTCTCAGCCTCAAGGATATTTAGCAGATGTTAGCACGCTAAAGTTTGAGTGGTAAGTATAGTAAACATTATATACACTAAAAAGCATTTTAGTGCTGAGTGCTGATGCTGCTTGGCTGCAGTCTTGTTTTTAGATGTTGGATGAGGACACTAAAGACTTCAACAATGAGAACATTGTCTGCAGATGAATAATTGCGTCTAATGTGAAAGCAATTCACAAGCACGGATTTAAGTGTCCAAGAAAAGATGTGCACTCAGGCAGACGACCGACCACAAGATTTATCTAACAAGTCATGGATTTGTTTCTGTTTAAGTGGTTGGCACAAAATCAAGTGTATTTCAAGTAGCTCATGTTTTTGGAGTGGCTTTTTAAAAGATTTCCTGCCTGCAGGTAGAAAATGTCCTAGAATCGTTTATATCAATATTACAGAATGAATTCAGCCGTCCTTATTCTCTCGTTCTCTTCTGTGGATTTAATAACAAATTTAAATGTAAATATGACTTTCACAGCTTGAATATACAAGTGCACTAGACACATGGTATATCTGCTTTAACAGACACCAAACACATTCAGAAGGCTTTCAGGTCAGCCCTCCTCTTCTGCTATTTCTCAGTTATACCAATACCCCAAAAGGAAAGTTCTGTACATGCTCACTGTAACCAAGCCATTCCAAGCTTTGAAACTAATTCACAGCCAAATCGATTTGCTTAAAAGCTGCGTGCGTGTGTAGATGGACTACAAACTTGGCTGTTCACAGTTACAGAGCCGCCTCTATGTGTGTGTGTGCATGTTTCTCAAAGCTCTTTAAGCGTGTTTGAGAGTGGGCACAGAATACTGTCAGCCCGGCGTCGTGGCTCATCGTGGAGCCGAGGGGGGTGGTGGTGTTGCTATGGAAATGGCTGGGGTGGGTTGGCGATCCTCGCAGACAGATCAAAGATGATGTGGGAGTGTGTGGGATGGAAGCGGCATGTGTACAACAGCTGTATGAATACCAGTTTAGATGGAGGTTATTTAAATTTCAAAAACTTTGTGTGTCCATGTGGCAGGCGGGGTCACGTGGCACAAAATTCTTGTTAATTTTTCAGTGTCTGTGTTCTCGTGTCTGATAAAGATCGTGAAGTGCTGCTTGGAAATGAGCAGCTGTCAGTGCTACAGAGATTAGTTAAAGAGGTGTTGCTGCCGAGGCCACACTTTTTTGTAATTCAAATTATTTGCGTGACACAGGGCAGCCAAGCAAGTGTTTATGAACTTTTTTCAGTAGGTTTACATTCACTATTAACTATAATTGTATTACTCTGAGTAACCAGACTGCTTTATTGAAACAATGGAAATTGAAAAAAGACTATACCGGTATTTATCTTTAGTTTAAAGCAGCACTAATTAATATTTTTATGTTAAAGAGCTACTGTACTGCACACTTAAACTAGTTTTATGTGCTGTAAACTAAAATATATAACTGTACTGTGATGAAGCGCATCAATGCTCATGTTAATATTGACATTCTTACCAAATTTATGAAAAATACGCCATCTACTGTTTCAAATCACCCTGAACCTTGCAAGGCCAATGCTGACATGGAGTCAAGTTTGAAACGGATTTACATACTGACATTTATAGAAAATTAGAGGCAGCAAACCTCTCCCAGCTTTGAGTGGAAGTCAGTTAAACCGGTTTTAGAAGCACAATCAGACTTGATCCCACTCACTTGCAAACACACATACATACCGGGGGGGTTGGCCTCTCTGAGCTGTTTCTTCACTATTACACAAGCACCACAAGGAAACTTGAACAAATGGCTGTGAATGCGCTTCTAGTGACTGTAAAAGTGCAGTGTACTCTGTGCTAGCTGTTCCTGCTACATAAAATGCAACATAAAAGCCATTAAAGTTTACCCCAAATCTTATTTATTGTATATTTTACCGCTGTACCACTTTGATACATTCTGCATTGGTTTCCTCAATTACCTTTTTGACCCGCACACTCAGGGCACTGACAGAGATCAGACCGAAGGGTTTACATACCACAATAATTCTGAAAGTTCAGTAACGTTGGTATGTTTATCAAGTTATGCTTACCCTGCTTGTGACTGTAACTCAAGTTAGATAATGCTTAAGAAGGTTTCTATTTGGAGTCACAACAAAATGAATGTTATATTCCAGCATTGCCAAGAGCTGTAAACCAGAATTTAACTCACAGATTAGAAATGAATGGAGGATTGTCATTTTTATTTCTCCCAGTGACATCTCACATGTAAGAATCTCCAGCTTCTTGTTAGTAAAGAGTGTTTTATGTTCATAAATACTGACTGAATTGTCTTGGTGAACTTGATGTACAAGTTCATAAAATGTGTGGTATTCCCCTTCAAGTTGATGAAAGAATTGCACCATTGTTTTGGATGAACGCTGAGTTGTTATTTTTTCTCGGGGTGTGTCCAACTTCCAGCGTTACACATAGTACCTCTTTAGAAATGAGCCGTTACTGTCGTTTGGATTATCCAGACTACCATTTCTGGGGCTTCGTAGCTTCAGTCAGAATGACCCAGGAATACATTAGTCTCATTCTTTATCTCACATTTTAATTCAAATGTGATGTGAAAACAGTCAGAGAAAGTAAAAGTTTTGCGCCCTGCTCATAGTTTCAGTTATAAAATCGCAGCACACCACAGTGTCTCTCTCTAGAGTCACGCTGCCCTCTGTTTCTATCACACTTCTCTGCTTCCGTTACAGTTTACTTTTGTGGTTTGTGGTCATGTTAAGACTTGGTTTTCAACACAAAAACAATCATCATTGCGGATGAGTCCCCCTCCTCCTGCCTGCTCTACCCAGGTACCACCCCTTTGCCTAAACCAAACAAGGTATTTCAGGTGAGCGAGGGCAACTTTGGGCAATGTCTAAAGTTCACAAGAGGAAGATATGCACTCCAAAGGTGTTGATGAGTCAAGGATGCAAAGCAAACACGCTACTACAGTTGCCAGCCGTGAATAACAGTCCTCATTTTGTCTCCACCACTCAAGAGGACAGGGATCAGGTTTTAACCTGTCTTTGAGAAACAAAACAAAGCATTTGAATCCTGATTTGGACATCGATAGCAATAGCTCCATAGCATTCAGGTCAGCCCTAACAAACACACGATGGATTTGTAAACTAGAAATACTTTAAATTGCTTACTAACTTAAAAATGTCCATACCATTTTTTGGTCACCACCATTGGAGTCTTTCTCAACCTCTTTTTGTCTAAGTCTGCAGCATTAAATTCAAACTAAATGAATTTTTCAGCAACAGCTCACAGTCTCTGGACATGCATGGTGCTACACTCACAGAATGATTATTGTTTTTCTCTGCAGTTCTCTTCACTGTGGCCTCTCTTTCTCTCTTCATGCTGGTTGCAGGCTCTGCTCTGCACACTGCTTTAACCAGGGGTCGTGTGGGGCTGAAGCTGCCGATTGCAGCTCTAGCTGCAGGGGCTTTAGGTTTATCTCTCCTCGCCTCCGCCAACCGGCGCCCCCCCACCCCACCGCTCTGCCCCCCCCCCCCGCCCCGGCCCCCCGCCACGGGCCGGCTCTTTTCCCTCCTCGCCCACCCGCGCCCCTTTCCGGCCCCGCCCGCCCCGCTCCCCTCCCCCGGGGGCCTCCCGCCCCCGCCCCGCCTCCTTCCCCCTCGCCCCTCGCCCGCCTCGCCCCCGCGCGCGTTGCACTTCCCTGCAGGTGGCTCCTTCTTTCCCTTCTCTCTCTCGCCCTCTCCTCCCTCCCGCCCTCTCCCCCCCCCCCCCGTCTCGTCTCCGTCCCTCTCTCTCTCTCTCTCGCTGTCTCTCTTTTTACCTGTCTCCTCTGTGAGGCTTTCCACACTCCTCTCTGGTGATTCTCTAATGAATTTTTCTCTACCTCTACATCATCCCCTCTCTCTGCCTTTCTGTTGTTCTTTCTCTCGCTTACCGACCAGTCTGCTTTTAAATTTTGCTTCTGCCTATGGGTATTATGAATTGAAAAAGCATGAATTGTGCTGTGTGCAGCAGTATCAGGACATAAGTGACATACAACCTGATGGATGATCTTATATAGGGCTACAACTTTCATTAGCGATCAATCTGTTGGTGATTTTTTGTCATTAATTCTAAAATGTCAGAAAACAGCGAGAAATGCCCATCACTAGCTCCTAGATCAGATTCAGATTCAGATTCAGATTCAGAATCTGAATCTGATCTAGGAGCTAGTGATGGGCATTTCTCGCTGTTCATTTCATTTCTCGCTGTTTAGATCCAGATCCAAAGTCTTTGAATTGCTTGTTTTGTCCAACCAGCTGTCCCAAAACCCAATGATATTCAATATTCAGTTATATAAATCAGAAAAGGCAGCACACATTCACATTTGAGAAGCTGTTTTTTGCTTAATAAATGACTTGGAAAGGTGGAATCAATCGTGAAAATGGTTGGCAATTAATTTTCTGAACTAATTGTTTTTGTGGCTAGCAATCCCATTAAATTGAATAATTTATGGTAAACAGGAGCATGGACATTATTATTACAGTTAATAGAGAGATTGAAAGTTCATTCTTGACATTGGGAACCAAAAAAATCATACCACAGCAAAAAATTCAGAGGTGACACCTTCCGAATGATTGTTTTGTTGAAGCAACAGTCCAAAAAAAATGATATTCAGTTTATAATGATAAGAAACAGAGAAAAGCAGAAGATTATTATATTGGAAAACCTGACAACATAAAATATTTGACTGCTTTTGCTTGAGAAATGACTTAAGTGATTATTAAATAGTTTAGCAGATTCATTTTCTGTTGATCGACTAATAATTGCAGCTCTAGCTATGATTGTGCTGAAGATGAACAAACATATTCATTGCTACCACACAGACAAATCCATGCCAACTGCTTATTTTGATAAGATTTCTGCTCTTTACAAACCTAGAGTTTCGTCATTCTTCTGGGGCTTCCCTGTTGGCCTCCATGTTTGGGCGATAAATCTTTAAGAAAGTCCCTACTACAGCCTCCAAAGTATTAGTATTAGTATTATTGGAAGATTTTGGAGTGAAATCCAGAAGGTGATTTAGTTTTATTTCCCGACAGGCAAAAATTGCCAATCTGGCAGAGGTGAGGGGATTAAGATCACCAGAGCAATAACTAATGATTTCAATTAGAGGACTCCCTCAAGGAAAACCCAGCACAACTGTATTGTGCTTATGAGAATTACTTATCCATGTTACTCATAAAATTAATCCTTTATTTATTGAGCTGTAATGGACTTTACAATATGCAATGTGAGGCCAAGCCAAAGCCTTTTCCCCTCTGTATAAATCCCTCTCTCCATTATTTTCCTCTCGACCCACCGCTCTCTCCCTATGTTAGTCGGATTATTCCCAGGTTTGTGGGAGAGAGAAAGAGGGGCATTGTTTTTTCTCCTAATCACAAAATCTTTACTTGACTCTCTCTCTCTCTCTCTTTCTCTCTCTCTCTTTCTCTCTTTCTCTTTCTCT